AGACGCCATTGATTCATTACTTGGGGTGTCGGTGTCTGTTATCTGGGGATGTTCACCAGGCGCGATGAGGTATGCCGACGGGTTCCTTCCTCTCTCCTGACACTGGCTCTCGGTCCATGACCGAGTGCTCGACTTTTTAGAGGGGGTGACACCAAAATGACTGTCATTCATTTTGGTGTCACCCCTCCAATGTGGGCCGCACCCCCCTTGTGACGCCACTGGGATGTAGCAGTCTGTTATTCACTATGGGAGGATACGGCGGTACGCAGTCATACGCACACCCGAACTTAACATCTGTGCGGGTCCAAGTGTCCATACGCACACCCGAAGTGAACATCTGTGCAGGTCCAAGTGTCCATACGCACACCCGAACTGAACATCTGTGCGGGTCCAAGTGTCCATACGCACACCCGAACATCTGTGCGGGTCCAAGTGTCCATACGCACACCCGAACTGAACATCTGTGCTGGTCCAAGTGTCCATAGGCACACCCGAACTGAACATCTGAGCGGGTCCAAGTGTCCATACGCAAACCCGAACTGAACATCTGTGCAGGTCTAAGTGTCCATACGCACACCCGAACTGAACATCTGTGCGGGTTTAAGTGTCCATACGCACACCTGAACTGAACATCTGTGCGGGTCCAAGTGTCCATACGCACACCCGAACTGAACATCTGTGCGGGTCCAAGTGTCCATACTCGGACGCAAACAGGATGGATGTGTAAAGTGTTTTCCAGCACATCACAAAGGGTGAGAAAACTCCGGCCCTCCTGCTGTTTTGGAACTACAAATCCCATTAGGCATTGCAAGATTTTCACAGCAACAGGCATGACTCCCACAGACAGATGCATGATAAGATTTGTAGTTTTATTTCTTACAAGTATTTATATAGCGCTGACAATTTACGCAGCGCTTTACATAGTTGCACATTCACACCAGTCCCTGCCCTCGAGCTTACAATCTAAGGTTCCTCTCACATGCATACATACGAGGGCCAATTTAGACAGGAGCCATTTAACCTACCAGCATGTTTTTTGGAGTGTGGGAGGAAACCGGAGTACCCGGAGGAAACACACGCAAGCACAGGGAGAACATGCAAACTCCTTGCAGTTAGCCCCCTGGCCGGGATTCGAAGTGGGGGGCCCTCAGGGCTGCAAGGCAGATGCACTAACCACTACGCCAGTTTCACCACAGCTAGACTTTGCCCAACTGCAAAAAAAAAAAATGCCACCCTAATATATTGTTGGACCACCTTTATCTTTGATTACGGCACGCATTCACATTGGCATTATTTCCATGAGCTTATGCAATGTCACATTTATTGCCAGAGTTATATGAATTTTTCACCAAGATCTCGTACTGATGATGGGAGAATCCGACCACTGTGTAAGGGCTTGTTCACACGATGTCCGGACCAGATCTGCAGACGTGGTGCTATGCGTTTTTGACGCGTTACAGTTAAAAAAAAAATGTTAGCTGCAGTGCGGTGCCAGCCCGGACAAAATGTGACATGCAGCATTTTCTCTGTCCGGACCAGAACTGTAGCCCATAAAACACATAGGGATACATTTTGGGTGCCAGAATCCGGACGTCGTGCGAACAAGCCCTCAAGTCTTCTCCAGCACATCCCGAACATTCTCAGTGGGATTAAGGTTCGGACTCTGTGGTGGCCAATCCATGTGTGCAAATTGTCTCATGCTCCCTGAACCACTCTTTCACAATTTGAGCCCGATGAATCCTGGCATTGTCATCTTGGAATATGTCCATGCCATCAGGGAAGAAAAAATCCATTGATGGAAAAACTTTGTCATTCAGTATATTCAGGTAGGCAGATTACCTCATTGTTTGGGGACATAAGGTTGCTGAAACTAGACCTGACAAACTGAAGCAACCTGTATAGCTTTTTTCGCCGCCTGAGGTGGCCAGAAGGGCAGTCAGCTGGTATGAAGGTGCTGTTAGTCGCCTGTGCTGCTGCACCCCACAATGAAATGCTGCCTCATTACGGGGACACCCCTGCCTATGGCTCTTACCTAAATCCAGGTGCTGGGCAGTGTATTTGGGCTTTTCAGTAGGCCAGCACAAAGGGGAATGCTGTTTGCAGTATCCCATAGCACGCACATGTCCTCAGTACCAATCCATGTAATCATGGCCTGGATGTAAATGTCAGAAATACATTTCTCCAGCATTTGTCATATTGTTTAGCTGAGGCCAGAACACACAGGGGGAAGTTTTCCTCTGACAGAGGGGGGGCTGAGGGCTTTCCAAAAAAAAAAAAAATCAAAAAAATCTATGAATGACATTTCCCTCAGAAAACGATGACAGACTCCCCCTGGTTGCCATTGCCTCATTCATTTGCCGGGTTCACTCGGTCACCCGCGCATACATTTCACGTTAAACTCGATAGAGAAGAAGAAGCGGCAGCAGCAATGTGCCATTTCCTCCAGGAAACAGATCCTCCTCACACCTCGGGAATATGAGGAGAGGTCACCATCATTGTGGAAGTTTATCCCTCGCCGTCGTCCCCCACCCCTCCTCCTTCGCTTTATGAGGCGGTGTACCACCGCAGGACGGGGCTGCGTAACTCCCCTAATGACGACCCCAAGACAATAATAATAATGCCAGCCGTGTCCCTGCGGAGGGCTGCAGGGGGAGCGGGAGACGTGGCTGCTGTGAGGCTGAGCAGAGGATTTGCTCTGGGAATGGAGAGAAGAAGAAGAAGGCGGGGGGATGGGGGGTGTAATAGGAGGAGGAGAAGGGGGGGAGGGAAGACTACAGAGAGAGCAGTGCCCGCGTGTGTGCCTCTGATTCCCGGTGTAATTTGCAGCCAATCATCAGTAGGTGTCCACATCCCTGCATCCTCCTCACCTCGGCGCCAATAACTCTCCACCTCTCCTCCTGCCTCCCTCCTCCTTCCCTTTTCTCTCGCT